GGGAGCTGAGGCTGTCCCTCCATCCCCCAGCCCTGTTCGGTGCCGCTCCGGCTCCCTCTGCTGCCGCCGCGCCGGCTGCGGCCCGAGCGCTGCAGTGACCGCCTGCGAACCGACCCCATTTACATCTGACATGATTTGTTCTTAGTAAGTCCACAGAGGCTGCTACTTGTCTCCTTGTTATCTTTCAAGTGCTCTGAAATAACTTGTATATATCCCAGGCTGCTGCGATGTTTAAGCAGCAGGGCTGTAATTCTCTCTGTCCTTTTTCTCGGTAACAATATTTGTCCCTTTCCCGGCTCCTCAGACTTCACCCATCGACCCAGGGTGTCAAAGATAGTTGTTAATAACAAGCTTTGGCCAGTTCTCTAAACATCTTACAGAACAAATCATCAGAACCAGACAATCTGCAAAAAACATTCTACTCTCTGACCCGACCCATCTTTCTTCCTGTTCAAGCTCTTCTGGCTGATGCTAATTGTGTTGACCAGCTGACCAACCTTAATAACAAAGAGGAGGCCTGAACAGATGGTTATGTATTGACCCTGCTTTCCAGTTGTTCTTGTACCCCCAGAGGCTTCAATAATTCTGGCCTAAAGCTGAGGCTTTTTAATAGTAAGACATCTTAGGTAAGTATTGGAAAAGATGGTTTCAAGACTGACAGCCAGATCAGACAATGAATTCTCTTGGTCGAGCAGCCTGGTATTTGAAGAAAGGAACAACTTCAAAAATAAGCTGGGTCAACCAGTTCAACAGAACAGGTCATAACACAGTGCTCTGGGTCAGATTGTACATACCTATATCACAGTTTCCTTAGCATTTTACAGAATATGTAAGCAATGTTTGCATTATAATTGCCATTTTCATAAGGAAATATTTAACCTTAAACCAGAAAATATTATGCCTACCTATTTAGCTATTGATTTTTTGAAATGCTGTTCCTTTTTATGCATATTAATGTTTCAATATGCATAGTTTAAATAATTTTATAGTCAGCTTTCCATAAACAAATTACTAATCTTAGTATTCAATAAGGATTCAAGCTGTCTGCCTAATTTACACTTGCTAGGATTTGAATTGTATTACCAGTCTAATAGCTTATTAGTGTGGCTTAGATAAGCTACATTACAGCTTAACTATTTATTTGGATGGGGAAGAACTCATCCTCCAGTGGCTTGAAGGAGATTTTGAAGAGATTTTTTTTATCTGTTCTGATTAAATATTTAGTGAGGAACAAAAATCTCTCTGATTTCCTAAGAGAAAGTTACATGCTTTAAATATCTCCCATAACAACAATGATGTTTTCAAATATTGATGAATTCCTTTAAAACCACTAACTATTACTTACATTTTTCCTTATTACCATAGGAGTTACTTTAGATGAGAAAGTTACTGTGTTGAGCCTTTTCTGAACAGTGTCTGGACTGTGATTCTTTTCTGTTTCTTGTTTTGGGTCAGGCTGAAATCACATCTCTATGGTATTGGTTTGCAGAGTACAGAACTGACATTTTCCTCGTCTCTCCCTCAGCTTGTGCCTGCTGTACAGCATCTCAGGAGTTAAAGTTTCAAACTACTACAAGGACTGGGATTTTAGAGTCATTTGAGAAATTTCAGAAGGGTCCCATTCATGCAACTGAAGTCAAATTTCTGAAAATGCCCATTATCTTCCCAATCCCATATTGAACAGCAGCCAAAATTAAAGCTAAATCCCTTTGAAAGTCATTGCTGGAATCACAGAAACTATTACTGTTTGTTTAACATGGTGTTTCATACAGCTTAAGATGCATTTACTTAAAATGTTGGCTACATGTATTTAACTTCCTTTTTCCAAGCACATAGAGTTTGCTGGAATAGAAACTATTAATATAACTGTTGGAATGATCCACACCTCCATTTATCCAAATATTGGAGTACATATTTAATCATGTAAGTAGCCCACAAAATTCCTTCCACCTTGGAAGGACCATGCTCAGGTGTTTCACACTGGAACTTATTTTGTTTGACATTCGTGGGTTTGTGAGAGCAGTTTTTGGCTACAGGAGAAAGGTAGTTCAAGGGACTGAACAGTGACAAAAATTTAAAAAGGCACATAACTCACTGTTGTAGGTGGGTAAGGGGGAAGTGTTGCTTTATTTTCATGTGTACCTGAATAATTGCTATTTTTCTTTTATCTCAGCACAGACTGACACACACCCTGCTCCCTGACAATGAGCAGGAATTTATCTGCTTTCTCTCCAGCTCTTGCATTTACATTTGTTTTACCTTGCTCCCCTTTATTAAGCTGTTTGAAGCTTACATGTTTTCTTCTTTTTGTTTGCTAACTTTGCTATAGGAAGCTGGTGATAATCACGCTGGTTTGTTCACCCCTGATGGCAGTGAAAGTACACGTTATTTAATGTGCTGCACAGGGGAGCTGCGGTGCCAGCAGGGAGGTGTTGATACAACCAGTCTCAAGAGAGAGCTGCCAGCCCAGGTACAGAAACGTTCTTCATTGTAGGAAGCATAAATTCTTGGGAATCATAAATCATGTTTTAAGACAAAATCCATAGAGCAGAAGTTAAATTTTTCTATCAGGGAGCACAAAACTACTGTGCTGTGAAAATTCACGGTGCCTGTTTGTCAGTGGCAGTCGGGCAGTTCTGGAATGGTGGCATCTCCCACATCTTCACTTATTTGTTTGGTTCACAGGAACTTTTATCAACCCATGTGGTTCTTATTTATACTTTTAGTACAATGGAATTAAAATATACAGTATAGATGTTTCCCAAAACAAAATGACTGTCAGCTGTCTAAGAAAGATCTTCTCAATGTCTAAGAAAGCTTCTCAATAGCTACTGCACCTTTCACCAAAAAGCTGTACACATAATTTGATCATACACCCTTTACAGTAAAGATGAGCTTTTTATATTCTTACAATATTTTTTATCACCATGCTGTGGGGCACCACAGCAAATATTACTATACTTCATAAAATGAGAAATTTGTCTTATGAAAAAACTGATCTGGACCTATCTTTAAGTGAACTACATATGGTAAATTCTGCATATTTATACCAAGTCTGAATTAACTTCTATGGAGCTTACCTTAAATCTTTTTCCTAGAATTTACATAGATGTTTCTGTAATTCAAGTGATATGCTTAATATGACAGCTATCAGAACTTGTATCAAACAAGTATTGGACCACAAGAACTTCAAGGAAGTAATATATCTGAAGAAAATTTATTTTTTATCCAGAAACTAACTGACTCTATTTCTATGAATTTCAAGGTGAATATGGTAGAGGATATGACATCTATATTTGGGTTGACTGTAAAATCTTACACATTAGAAGCTGTACAGAGGAGAAGAGAGAGATAAATAAAATATCCATGGACACCTTGCCTTACCTCTTTGCCTCCCCTAAAAAATCACAAGGTAATTTACTTAGATGTTTCAAGGCTTAGTATTTGCTATTCTTAATATTTGTTATTCTTCCTGAGCAGTAAACAAAAAGGTGATGCTTTAGTTTGGTTTGTAGACACAAAAGAGCAGTACTTGGGATTCTCAAGGAGCAGCCAGCAGTAAAAAAAACTCAAGTAGAACTGCCTATTATTTTTTTAATTTCAACACAAAGTTTCCAAGCAAACACATAACTGAAGTATGTGTTGGGTTTTTTCTTTAATGAAATTTTTCTTTCAAATCTTCTTTATCAGGTATTCATTTCTTTTCAGGTTTATTACTACTCAGTAATATCACCCTCACTAGAATTAAAATTCACAGATAAATATCACCCTTTTTCTATCTTCTATGTTCTTTTACATGTCTTTATAACCAGTAGACTATGGCTGAGTCCAGGATTGTCTTTTCAATTTCATTCTCTCCCTAAGTATTTATTTCAAATAAGAGATGTATGCACCTATTTTAATAAATGTGGATCCACAAAATATCTTGACTCCTTTACAGATTGAATCTTCAGGCTCCCAGTTAACTGAGTGCTGATCAGGATTCACCACCTCCTCACTGCTCTCCTGAGGTGGGGAAGTGATTTTATCCAAATTTTACAGCTCCAGCCCAGATCTTAAACTATTAAAATATCTAATCAACAAGTTGGATTCTTGGCTACCATCCGCAGAGAGGCAATGGTAAGGACAAAACTGATCCTGTAACTCTGAACTACTGATTTACACACTGCTAAACCTTGCTAGAGAAAACAATCAGGAGCTAAATTCTGTAAAAATTAGCAATAAATGTTGCATGTTTATGGGAAAATAATGAAGCCAGTATGACTTCACTGTCATGGAAAAGGGGGCCACTGTGCATTGTGTGGTGTTAACATCAATTCAAAGTTAGGGAAAAGGAGACTCAAGAGATTCAAGGAATCAGTGCTGTTTGCAGAGGCAGTGGATGTGCACTGGCACTCCATGCAGTCCATAGGCAGAGTTAATGACAGCCTGTTATATATTGTATCCACTGTTTCTTAAACCTTTTGAAAAGTAAATGATAATATTGTAAGACAGCTCTGGGCCAATTTTCATTAGGCCTCCCACACAAAGAACCTCTCATTTATTTTATGTTCAGACTCGAAACATGCATAAATTACAGCATCCATTCTTTATTTGAAGGCCACAAGCAAATATTTTTCTCAACATTTGAAATCATAATTCTAATCTGAATTATTCTAGTTTCATCAGTCCCCCACTGGGTCTATTTTTACCTTTTTTTTCCTCACAGATTAAGGAGCCACATACTATTAGAGTGATTTACATAGCATTTTTACTTTGTAGATAATTCTACACTAAGTTCAAGCCATTTTTTAACATGCTTTTAGATGAGCTGAACATCTTCTGGTCACTATATTTATTAAGACTAATATGCTATAGCTCACATGGACAGTTTGTGGCAATAAAAGTTGAATCTTCATCATTTCTCTTCATATAATTCCATTTTCTTCATGCAGTTAACTCCCACTAGCAGTGATTGGTTTCTGAGGAAACAGGGAGTATGTTTAGCTTACTGTGGGCCTGTTAGAACTTTGTAGGGAATAGGCCAAAAACTACATGGGCTTTTCCTTAAACTATACAAATCTGCAGAAAGAAATGCCAGACCGTGTAAAGTCACAGGCATGTAAGTTACAATAAACAAATAAATGAATATCTGATGTGAAATGTATTCCTAATTCAAATATAAATAAAGATCCTTAATTGCTTTTAGCAATCATAGCAGGGTAGGTACTGTCTGGTAGGTGTTCACTAGGTCAGCAACAGGATTATACAAATGTGGCTGAATGGCTTGAGCCCTGAATGTCTTTTAGGACTTGGGAACACAAAATATAGACAGTCCTAACCTGTGCCTTAGTACTAAAATCATTCAGCCTTTGATATCATCAGACAGAAAGCAGTTGAGGACTTATCATACCTCAACCAAAAAAATCTTAGGGAGTGACTTGAATATGCCAACCTGGCTTCTTTTCAGGCTGGCACATGCTATATAATGCACTAATGGGTGGAATTACTCCTTTTGTTTTTATTTGTAGTGAATAAATTTTATGTTTCTGAAATTATGATGAAATTATAGAAATCTACAGTACTAAAAACAGTAGTTTACTTTCATCTTTGTGGCTACACACCAGACATTTTTGTATCAATGCAGCAGTGACAGCTATTAATCCCACACTACTGTCTAGTTCAAAAAACAGAGCAATTGCAAATTGTTTATTTTTCTTAATGCCTTCTTGCTTAGTTCCATAAGTGGCTATAAAGTTCATGCTCTTATACAATTTAACAAGTCAATAATTCAAAATAGAAAATGCAGAATCATTCATCTACATTCCACATTGAGCTTTACGGCTTTTTTCTTTTTTGATTTAAAGTGTTTGTGTGCTTGTCAACCTCAAGGAATATGCTTACAGGATTCTCCAGGGTAGAGATACACATATTGAAGTCCCTATTTTTGCTCAAATAATGAGAAATCTAAGTCATAAAAATTTGGCATGCTATGTCAAAGATACATGTCTAATTAGCTCAACATTTAGCACACACACTTAGGTTATAAAGTGTTACAAATTACCTTTATCAGGCAGACAGGCATTTTTGCATTAGGTGGTACCTCTATAAATGCAGCTTTTGCTTTTGGCGGGATGGCTGGTTGGGTTTGCAGAAGGAAGTTTCAAAGTGTTGATTACTTAAAGATTGCTCCTTTCCTCAGCAATTATCAATTCTGAGAAAAAAAAAAGGTGCAATTATAAAACCCAAAGGAACTTAATTACTGATATTTAAAAGTTCACTGAACATTTTTAAACAAAGATACATAAACTGTGAACTTGAAAACCAAAGTGCTATCTTTGATTGCATGCAGAGCAAGGGATAGTTCACATGGTGTCTGGTTTTCCACTGACACATGATTTTTTTTTCTACTCTCCATAGTCAAAGAGGCAAGATATTAAGTACTTATTATTTCAGTAAAAGATTATTGCAGAAATAATCTGTGCCACCCCTTTGACAGGTTCAGCTCTGTGCAGAGGTGCTCTAACTCAGTCTCTGGAAAACACTCCAGTGTTTAGAAAAGCAGCAGCACAGAGCACACAGAGCACATCCGTGCTGCGATGCCTCCTGTCAGCAAATGCAAAATACCTAATCCCCGTGGCTCTGGAGGGCAAAGGCATGCACTTAAACAAAGCTGCAACAAATGAAAAATCAGGCAACCTCTGCAGAGGAGTGCTTAACTTGAATTTTCCAGTAAATTTCATAAATAGCCTTGGCCAAGTAAGAAGATTACATTGCACTGAGATTAATTTTACTCTAAAAACTGAATGAGAGGTGCAGATTCACCCTTTGGAAAGCTGTTTTGCTGATATTGTGTAATACAAAGCAAATATAGCCTAGACTTCTTAATACCTTTTGAAGCCATATGAACATGACACCAAGTGTAAAAGACATTATTACATAATGTCATATATTATTCTGATCTTCACATTGATTCAGGTGTGAAGAGATGCATTTTCATGATTAAGAACCAAATAGGTAGGACTCCTAAAAGAAATAACAGAAAAAGCCATATAATCTTTGATAAGAGTGTTTACATGGACAACTAACTAACCAGAATTGCCTAATTCCATTTGAAAATTATTTAAAAGCTAAAAATTATTGCTATTAAGTTATTTCCCTTAGATAACAATCAAATTAAAGTTTAATAGCTAGGTTCACTTTTTATTTTCTCACAAAAGATTAAAAAGTAAGCCTCTGGCAGCTGGTGATTTTTTGCTTTTATTTCCAGATTGTGTATTAGTTTTGAGACACTGTTCTTGTAACCATGTTCTGTTTAATGCTGTACAGAGAAAGGACCAAAACAACCTCCCCACCTTTGCTTACCATTAAAGCACGAGAGAGGGCAGGGTCAGGCACTACAGAAAAACTGCACAGCACGAAGGGCATAACGACACAATATCAACCATCACAACAAGTCATAAGCATAAATGGCAATTGTCATTTTTCATGATCATTTCTGGGGCAAATATTGTGGCAAAGAAGCTTTTTAAAGATTAATTTTAGAGTGCTTGAGGCAACCTGAGAAAACGTTCAGGTGCAAGATAACAAATGGGAGAGGGAACAACAGCTCTTTTTTGAGCATTGGAAGACAAGAACTTTATTGTGGTGGAGGAAAGGGAACTAAGAAATACAAATGGAGAGAAGAAATGATTGATATAAGCCAAGCCACAGTCTGTGTATCTGTCCCCTGAATGGGAATAAGCAAAATTATCTTTACTAGTAAAAAAAAAATGAAAACCTAAACAAAAATGCCAGTTACGTAATGGATCTGATCTATCCATTGAATGATGTATGTGGATAGGAGAGGACCTGCTCAGAACAAAGCATCAGCACTTCAGATCCAGCATGGATGCAAGAATCTATTTTTGAGGCCAGGCTGAGATGGAGGATGGTTGTATTAAAAAAAAAAAAAGTAAATCTCTTGGAAGAATGATTAAAAGCCTTATTTTGGACTTACAGATATGAAACATCTGGATGTCAGTGGTATTACACCAGGACTGGAATTTGGTCAGAAATAGTCTGCTGCAGCACAGAAGGATAAAACCTTTAAATCATTAATATGAAGAAAATAGTTAAATGTGTTTTAGTGCAAGATTACTGAAAAATAAGCTATAAAAGGAGAAAAACAGGAAACTAAGAATGGGGACAGTAATTGTAATATATAATGTACGTAGCAACAATAACAAGGATAAGAGAAGATAAAAGCAATGTATAGCTAGATGAAGTTGGTATTGTACTGCCTGCCCCTATTCTATTACTAACATTGCTTCCACATTCAGGCTGAAGGAGTTGTAAAGCTGCCCACTCTGCCTACCTAAAGCAACTTTTCCTGAGCATTACTGATGTCTTACTTCTGAAAGAGTTATGGAAGAGATCAATGGTGCTGGAGGAGAGGGAGATGGCTGCTGAGTGTCACCTTTGTTAGGTCATGAAGCACATATTCCTCCTACAACATGCTGTCTTTATAGCTTTAGGCCCCATAATTTTTTTTTCCACTGTCATTCTTAAGACAAACATTTTTCTATGAAACTTCATTAAAAAAGACTGCTTGGTGGAACCATAAATGGCTCTGACCAAATAACTGACAAACAAAATTAAATCCTACTTGATTTTAACTGCCTGGTAACTTCTTGCTACACCTTTTTCTTTTTATGTTGTCATAGACAATGCAGGATCTCTATCAACTCAAAATCAGGCCTCCAACAGCTTTCAACAACAATGTCAAATGTTACTGACAGCTGGATTTGGGCATCTGATCCCAAACAGCATCTTACTCTCTGTTCCTTTGCCCATACACTTCATAGGATCAAGGTTACATTAATCCGTAAACTGCACAGTGAGCTTTTGGTAGAAAACGCATTTCGCAGGAATGTCTCACTAAAATTTTGCACTAACACAGTAAAGCAGAAGCTCAGTTATGTGACATGACCATAAACACCTTGAGCATCAGCATGGACATACACAGCATTGCTGTGGTCACTCACCTCATCACTACTCATTGTTCAAATTCCACATATGGGATAGGAATAGAACTTTTTCCTATCTTGTCCATTTCATACTCCTAATTCTACCTATCTTTCCATTTTGGGGCAGTTTTCAGGATGCTGGTTTTTGTTAATACCTTTGAAAACTGCTCCTTCTAGAAAACCCTGTATATGGAATTATGGCATCTCCATAATTCCTGTCAAATCATGTTAACTCCTTACTCTGGAAGAAATTGGAAATGACCAGCTACCTGCTGGGGCAGAGATGAACAGAGAGGCATAATAGTTTCTGATCATAGATAAATGCCAATTCATTCAATATTAAAAACAGAATAAGATGCCAGAAAAACTTTTGAAAATTGAAACCCTTTAAGAAAAGTAGAAGTAATTCAGGCCTGCAACTTTCAGCCAGTTGAAGCAGAGTTCTCTGAAGTGGAGATTGCTCATAATCTGCAGCTGCAAAGACCCTTGTCATTTCTATTTATTTTATCAGAAAATTTAGAAAACCTTTCTCTCTGCATATAAACTTCTTCCACTGAACTTACTTAAATTGATGGGACTGATGTAGCACAAACCAGTGTAAGACTAAGATGCATATCAACTTCGTTTGATGCTCAGCCATCAGTAAATGCCTGCAAACAGTTCTGATTTCCACTTCTAACGACAGCTCATTTGAGAATTGTAACGTTTGAGTGAAACAAACAGATTTATCCAGTCGGGTCTTGAAACCCCCAGGGAGATTGCACAATCCCTCCCCTGGGGATACGAAGCAAAGGGGAATAATCCCTTCCCTTGATTCACCAGCTGTGCTCCTGTTACTGCAGCGTGGGACGCTGTTGCTCCCTTGCTGCCAGGGCACAGCTCTGACCCAGGGCTCAGCCCTTCCCAGCAGAGCCCCTCTCTAGACAGTTTTCCCTTTAACTAATAGCTGGTCCAGCAGAAGTAGCCAGTACTGCTGGCCATAACCTGGAAATTGCCACTCTTAGAACCTAACTTAGAACTAAAAGTGGAATAATTTTGCTGTTTGATTACAGTTTTAAAGCTATTTTTTCTCCCTTTTGAATAGCACTTATACTTTTAGTGTCCCAGAACAAGGGTTGGCCCTTTGCACACCAAAGAAATATCAAAACTGTGGGAAACCTTTCTGAATGATTAGTAACATCAGTACTTCCAATAAATTAAACATAACAAGCTACAAAGTGAAGGCATAAAGATTAAATACTGCCTTTTTTTTTTTGAGAAGTATAGCACAAACTATGGGAAACAGCTAAAGGAAGAGTAAAATAATTTGGGAAACAGCTGTTGATATGGGATAACTGCATTAAAGTATCTTATAGCATCAACTTGCCTTGGCTTTCAGTGTGTAAGGAAATAGACTGTGTAAGAACATACATTGTGCAGGCTTACCTTTACAATGTGAACCCTCCTTCCTCCACCTCTTCCTGTTCTCAGACAAGAGGGTAGGGTGGTTGCTGTCTCACATTTTCCCCCAGGCTTACCTACTTTTGTCCTTTACAGGGTCTTAGCAATTGCCACAGGCTAATACTAAAGGGGGAGCAGGAGGGGGAATAGGACAGAGACAGATGAGACCAAATAAAAGCCCAACCCACAACACACGTGTTGCTCTACCCCAATATGCTGCTTACAGCTTGAAGTGGTCAGTGCCCCCCTTATATACAGGAAAATATCACAGGAGTTGGGAATTCCTCCCACCTCTGGGGAGGCTGGTGGAAGGAGAGGGGAACGCTTTCATGTCTCCTATTACTTCTAGGGTGGTTTGGGCTTTGTTTGGAGTTTGGGTATTTTATTTTTTTTGTTGCATTTTCTTGGGGTTTTCTTTACTTTTTTCCTCTTTGATCCAGGTTTCCAGAAGTTGCTGCCAAACTAGTTCTTGAGCTATCAGAAACTTTAATCTAGTGCCTTGAAAATACTGGATGTGCTGTGACTATTTCCCCTCTGCTTACTTCTCCCATTTACTGTCCAAGATTTCATTACTCCCCAGAACACAGACCAAAGGAAGAGGCCCAAGATCTGCTCCTCCCTCCACCCCCAAGCAGCTCGATACCTGATCAATACACACACACACACTTCAGCACCAGGAGACAAGGACACTCATATTTCTCTAAAGGCATCAGTTATTCCTTGAGCCCTTCACTCTCAGTCACAGGCAGCAGAGCTATGGAAGTTGTTTCCTACCTGCTGGATAAACATGCACCAAACCTTCTGATCAAACACTGTGACTGCAGCTGCTGCTGGTGCACTGGGGTGGGGCAACTACTCCTACTCTTGGGGCAACCACCTACACTCATCTGAGGAAAGTTCTGAAAACACAATGCAGTTGGGAACACACAGCTGTGAAATCCCTGCATAATCACAGGAACAGATCACATAATAGAGCTGTTCCAGTTCAAGCCGTCAAGAGACTAGGAAAGGAAAATAAGAGAAAGAAACGGCAAGCCCTGAAAAGGCTCGACCATCAGCAAGATTTTGCCTCCCCTTCTAAACTTTTAATTCAAATACATTTCAGCAAAGCTTTTCATTATTCTCCATTCTGCCAATAGCTTCAGCTACAGAAAAGTTTTGGCGTGGGGAAGGCACATTCATATTAAAACCAAGGCATTACCCCTTATGGCAGGTGGACTTTTCTTTCCCACTAGAAAGCCCCTGCAGAGGTTCAGGCTGCTCAGAGGATGGGCAATGGCCTTATTCATGTGCAGACAGGTTGGTGAAAACAGGTGGGACAGACCCATCTCCAGCAGTGGCCAAAAGAGAGGGCCCAAGAGATGCAGACACTTGGAATTTCACCAGTCCCTGCCCTCAGGCACCCACCTTCTCATTGGAGGAGAGCTCAGCAAGGGAAAGAAGATAGAAGAAAATAAGACACATGGTTGAGGGGAAAGAATCTGAGCAATTCAATTTTGCAAGCAGTCTGCATACGGAAACTTGAATATCCAATTAAGTTTGGCAATAGCATGGGGGCTTTACACATAGCTGGAATTAATTCTTGTGCGTCTTCCTACAGAATATGAAGCAGCATTGTAACTAATTCTTGTCAGATGGGATACCAAAGCATTCCCTAAACAAGAGATTCTGGTATAAAGCCAACATGTAACAAAAATAAAATTACTGCACAAGTTCAGTAGCAGCTATAAGTGCTTAGATGGCACTTATGTCCATGAATGATTTTTTGCTGCTCTTGTTAATTTAGAAGAACATGAAACTCATCCAAAACAGTAACTGGTGGTGTTCTCTAAAACCAATTGAACTTACCATGTTAAAAAAAGCATCTTTTTAAAAGATAAGACTTCTTACTGTACCCTTTATTATACCTTATAAAGGTATACAAAGCAGTGCAGTACTGGGGATGACTACGTGTTCTTCTGAGGGCTGCACACACCTGGGATTGGTTTTAGTGAGCTTTTCCCTTAATCCAAAATTCCTGAAAAGGAGGAATCCCTAACATCTTACCCCACCCCTCCACTTGTCTTAATTGCTCCTAGATACATTTGTTTGCAGGAAATTACTGCAGCCATGTGAACTGTGACTCTTCAGTTTATTCTTTTCATTTACTAACTTGCTTTCTAATACACTAAAAGCTGCCCTGGTATGAAAAAAAGAAGTGTCCCCAAAAAGGTTTCATTCACTTTTCAGGCCAATTAAATCCTTACTCTGTGCTGAAAATGACAGCCAAAACAACCAAAATCATCACCACAGGTACTCTTCTTTTCCTTCCTTTTTAAATAGGTAACCAACAACTTATTTTCCCACGGAAAGTTACACAAAGGCTATATATCAAATTTGAAAGCTCCTCAAAATTTCAAAGTCGATGAAAGCCAGATTCTAGAGGGAGACAACATGGGTAAAAAAAAATATCAATACACATGATATTTTAATACAAAATATTAGCTTTTTTCTTTTTTTTTTTACACAAGTCAGTTTTTTTTAAAATATAGAACCTTAGAAAATGAACAAATTGCTATCCACACACTATAAACACTTGTTTGTGCTCAGTTTGATCAAGTTATCAGAACAATTGAAACACCAGTCCATAGTTTAAACACTGCCTTGAAGTTGAATGAAAGCTATGCCGCACTGTGCGCTACCGTTATTGTATGTACAGTGTGAAGCGCCTTCAGTCAGGTTTAATAGTAGGAAAAACTGTTCAGTTATCAGGTTCTTTGTGCAAGGATTTCACATTCTACTCGTGCTCATGACAGATCTGTATTACATTGCAGTGGCACTGGTATGAGCAACCACATGTAATTCTGTGAATGTTCACTGGAAGAATGTCCGTTACATGTTCTGGAAGTACGAGTTCTTCAGCTAGACAAAAGAAAACTTGTTAGTTTAGGGGAAACACTAGCCTGATTAGCCAGGATTTAACAATGTCTAAGCACTGAAATGAATTTTGATTTCTCAAAGTTGAATAAAAGTCATTAACTATCACATTTTCATAGAGATTAACTGTGTAGCAGGTACATCTCAGGAATATTTGTAATTGCCTGTTTTTTGAACCCATAGAAAGGAAAAAATTTCCCTTTGAGTTGGAGGTCTTTAAAAGGTCTTGTTTTAGTAGTAAATCATCCACAAGTTGCAGGTTGTTAGCCAAGTAGATTTAGGATGATTTACTTGCATTACAGTAATTTACACAATTGAGCTTTAGGCATACAGTACAAAACTATGAACAAAAAGGTGAAGCAAACTTTTTTATTTATATTCAGGTAAAAACATTAACCTGATGAAGTAAATTATTGCAGATTTGAGAAATCAGCACATAAAACAATTGGACAGAGCATTGCTTACAGGTGCTTTATCTGTGTCAAAAGACAAAGGCTGAACTGCTTGTTCCAAGCTAGCACTGGGGGGGAAGAAAAAAAAAGAAAAAAAAAAAGAAGAAAAAACTACAAAATTAATCATGAACTTAGATCAAGAACAAGAAAACTGTTTACTTAAACAGGGAATGGAACAACTAATTTGTCTTTTAAAAAACTTTACATCAATTGGAAATGCTCTGGCCTTACCACAATACACACTGGCCAGCCCAAGCTGTTGGACTTCAACTACATGAAAGAAATAATTCTTCCTCGCCTCCAGTAAGAGGCTTTTGCTGCCTGAATCACTGTGTAAACAGCTCTGGAGCGCCGACTGGTAACGACTGTCACCATTATAACCTACCACTACAGTAAAACTATGCTATAAGAAAGGTTCTACCTAGTTACAAAGGCTGAATTATATTGACAATATATATTTGATTTCAGTAAAATTTAAATTATCTTAATCAGAGAAAGAGGCACGGAGCAGTTAAATGCCCATGCTAACCAAAACATAACAATTGTTGAATGTTGCACACAAAAAGAACCAAGTGAATTGCACATCAGACAATACATGAGGATGGGTAAAATTAGAGGCAGGTGAGGGTACACAGAACTAGTCTACTAAACTAGATTCGTCAAATACATGTTGTGTTTTAATTTCTGTACTTATGTACAAAAGTTGTCTTTGGAGGAAAAACTTCAGACTTAGCTAGATGGATACACACAGCCCAGTATTAAACTGCACAGCGACATTTATTGTTCCAGCCTGGAAAAACATCCCTTTTTAAATTTCACACAGCAAAGCAAGTTAAAAACTTCACTCATCAAATAAATGATAATTTAAACAAGAACTTGCTAAAGAAACCTTGTCACAACAACTTTTAGGGCCTGATCACTTTAAGTCCATAGGGGCTTTTAATGAATATCAACCAAGTGTCTTTGTTTATAATCTGCAAGCCGTTTTTCTACAACAAGAAGGCGTAACACGTTTCCTTGACTCAGGTGATATATTTAGAAAAGAATCATGAGTTTCTCTTTTGCTGTAACAGGCAGACATTGCATTTTTCATTGTGATCAGGAAAGATGGAATGACTGCTGCCCTTCTCTTGCAGCTATCAAGAGTTTTTCACGCATTATCTCAATAGTTGAATAGTCCGGCAATTTGAGATAGTTCACACAAGTCATTACTGAGGGTAAGAAATCATCTGGATTCTCTGTAGACTCAAAAGTCTTGCGTACAATCGTCAGGGGAGGGTTCAAACTTCGAAAACCTGGTAATGAGAAAACACAGTCAGAATAAGGTTGCTCCTCTTGAACACCTACAGCTGACACTGCAGACATCTGTCAGTGACAGCAGCACACAGGGCACAGCTGACCTCAGCTCCACGTTTACAGGTTTGGGATATGGCCTAATAAGGCCAAGCAACAACCTAAAAAATACCTGAAATCCTGTCTGTAGATTTGATTTTCAAGATGAATTTTAAAAAAGAAATAAGTTAGATGAATCCACTCTACTTTTAATTGTGGTCTGTATGTGTAAAAACCCTATTCCAATCATAATATCTTAAAGAGTTTGTTGGCTTCACAGACATGTTTTAAGATTCTGAGGAATTATCCATGACCGTAATACCTTATTTGTTTTTACTCCAGCTAAGGTTTTTATACTCCTAACCTTCAATCCTGTCTGCACCATCTCTCCATAAAAGAGCTCTAAAAAATTCTTTCAATACTTAAAAAAAAAAGTCAACTCTTACCCCCAAATCCCAAAGAATGTAAGTAATGGAACAGAGGCATAAATTCTGTTTTTACTTGCCAAGAGTTCAGCTGAGAATACAGTAAAATATGTATTCTACAATGGTCCCTAGCAAAGACAGAAAATTCCTCTGTTTTCCTCCCTGCCTCTCACCTGAATTCTGAAATTCAAAAGGGGGAGAAACTGAATAAAATTAATACTATGCAAGTATTGGCTCCTTTCTAGGAAAGAGATTATTGATTCCAGGTAGCAATGCATCATTTTGTTGACATAACTTAATGCACCTCTAGCCAAGAAATACAGTATTAGGAGCTTTTAGTTTTGTTTAAATTTCAAACTATTTTTTGCCCACTGATAGATTTTCTGGTAGCAAATTAAACCTGGAAAGTCAAATGAATAAAGTATCATGAGATTAACACAAAGGTTATGAAAATTATACCTGAAGTCTACCCAGTCACCTCTGAAATTAGAAATGTCAAACCAGTATGAACCTCTAATAATTTTTTCCTACACTGAAGTAATCCACTTACTCTGAAATGCATTATTAATAGTGATTTCATAAATAGCAATATGTAATAAGGAAAACCTACCTCCTACAGGCAGTCTGGGGCTCCCCGTCACAAACTGAAGAAACAGTCTTTGCTGCTCACTGTCAAAACTACTGAGAATTTCAAACAGATACTTCACTGCTCGACTGAGGAGGGAAAAGAACAAAGATGATATTACTTTGTTTATCATTAAAATAATTGCATCAGATTCATATTCAGTGCAGTATAAATATTTTCAAATAAATTTTATATAATTCCTTTAGTTTGAATAACAATATATCAAAGTTATTTAAATACATATTTTCTACTGGTTTTGGCTTTTTGTTTGTGTTGTTTTTTTTTTTAAAGACCAACTCCATGTTACCTGTCATGTGTATAACCGTGATCAGGCCTGCAACATTCCATTAAAGTCTTTGCATCCCAAGTGTCTGTTTTGCTGCCACACAAGAGCTGCTCCAACTATAAAATGAAACAACAAGGAGTAAGTGTTCCCCTTTAGAACTTGAGGCAGGATGAGTACTGTCTGTTCTAAACACTACTACAGTGCTCCACTTCCTGGGATGGCTTGGTGCAAAACCAACTCTGTCACACCAAGCAATCCACCCAAATTCTCTGGATTCAACAGCTTCATCCCAGTGACTGTCTCATTGCCTGAATCTGCCTTTGCACACAATCCACCACCATACGAGATGCAGAATCTCTTCGAACAGAGACAGTCCTAATAAGCATTTTACAGTGGAGAACCAAAAATGCCATGAAATCTCACAATTCTTAAAGAAATCTGGAGCAATGCGAAGAATAGAGTGTTTACACTTGCATTTTAGAAATGTGAGATCTTCCTTGAAAGAAAAAAGAACAATCATTAGACAGAAATGGATCTGTCAGATAGCAGTTCTGTACTTCAGTTATTTTGCCTGTTCATCCTATGGATTTGGGCAAGCAGAGATGACAGGCTACAGTAGCCAAAACATAAAAGTTTCTGCTGACATCCTTCCAGGATACACAAGGAGTTGTAAAGCCCCAGTCTCAGTAACATCAGAGGTTTGACACACGTAGCTGTTTTGTCCACAAATTAAAGAATTTTACAAATTCCTTGTAATAGTTTAGGTACGGCTTGTAAAGAGGTTCAAATGGCTGGACAGTTATGAGCAACAGAACATGAGACCACACACGTATATTCCATGAGGGAAAAGCTCTACCTCGGACTACTCCTACGGCTTAAATTTGATCAACCGTATTAGTAGATTAGCAATAGACTACCATCTGCATTTTAAAATT